TTTTCTTGGTGCAAACATCTTTTCGGCAATTCAATAAAGTTGCTCGGCTAAATCTATACATGGGTCTGTCCATTTTTTTTTAATATTTATTCTTCTTTATTGCTCAAAACGTATCTTAAAGTTGATTCGTAATGTATATGCACATATACCTATGCTAAAATTTTTTGTGGAATCCGAGGCTGGGTCTTCAGGTTTTCTTTCTCAAGAGACATTACCATAGAATGGATCATGAGTTATAATAAAAAAATTATTATTATTTAATTAATTGTGGTAGTCGGCAGGCCATATATATGCATATTTCATCAATTTAATGTTTATATACAACTATGATCTTTACTAAAGTATTTGCATAGTTTGAGTTGGATTGGGTCAGCATTATTGTTCGGCCAAAACAAAGCCAAAAGGCAATGGTCAAGTATTCTTGGCCAAACAAGAGTTGTCGAAGAAGTATTTCGGCAAGCCAACATTGCCAACTTGCCGACCAATGCTAACTAAGCGGTCTTGGCGAGTGGTCCAACCATTGTTTGGCAATACTATTCTCTCAAAGGTGCCAACGCATTCTCACGATCATTTTGGCACGACCAAGTTGCCACACAGCAAAACCAAAGACCAAAGTGTTGCCGACCAAGTTCTTAGCGAAGTCAATTATAAATGAGGTGGCAACCGTGTTTTGGCACTAGTTACCGACTACGTGCTTCGACACACAGCAAGGGACTTGCCAACTCGATGTTCTGCAATGTCCCAATGGCCATACACCACAATTCCGATTGCCGACCACGTATGCGGCAAGCCAAGAACAAAAGGAAATTGCTGCACAAGTGTGCTCGGCAAGACAAACCCAAAGCGAAGGCCGACCACTAGCTTTTGGAAAGCGGGAAAATTGACTCACTTTCCATTTATATTCGGTGTTTGAGCCCATGCATGCGCATTGCGGCAGTGCCGCAACTCATAGCCAATTGATCGGCAAAGCTCTAAAGCTACTTTGTATGTTATTAACTCGGCTTCGACAACTTATTCCGCTTATTCGGCAACTTAGTCGGCGTATTCGCAACTCTACAAATCCACATATTATTAATTCACAACTTATTCGGTCTATTCCCGTTGCAATTTAGCATATCATTTGGCATATTAATATAAATGCTACATTTTATCTAGCATCGACAACTTATTTGGCGCTACTATTTTGGCATAACACTAGCATCTCGGCTTGCCGAAATCCATATCTGGAAATACTAGCGGATTTGTGTCAACTCAAGGAGTCCAAACATAGTTCTAAATCGCGGTATCGGCTAATGTAACTGTATCGATCGCGGAGTATCGGTATCGGTAGTATCGGCCGGTACGTATCGGGAATCGGATGCCGCAACCGTGAAATTTTAAAAATCATTAGCAATCCCTCTAAAACCAAATTTTATGCATTTTTTTTACTCTTTTAACTTTAATTTGTTACATTTCAATCAAAATTTCGTTATGTGGGAACATTTTTGACTCATTTTCAACTAAATTATTTGTATTTATTTTTGACATATGTTAATCTTTTAATAAAAAAAATTGATTTGAATATTTATTTTTTCTTATACTGAGAAAAAAATAAATATATATATTAATATAAATAGAGGTGCTGGTGTATAAACAGGTGTAGCCACACCACCTCCAAAACAAATAAATAGAAGAAAAAAAAAAAAAAAACCTTGTCCCTGGCTTCTTCACTGCAAGTAATATCCAAGTAAGTCTCTCTTTTATATCATACTATAAACAAATAAATAGAAGAAAAAAAAAAAAAAAAAAAAAAAAAAATTGAAACTACAAAATTTTATAATTTTCTTCGCCTGTAACTAAAACTCGAAAACAACTTATTTAGAACTTGAAAATTTTCTCCATCAAAATAGAAAAGAGAAGTGTATAATAGAGAAAATGTAGAAAAATTAAGAGATCGAAGGAGAAAGGCAGATATAGAGAGAGGATTGTACTCTGGCAATTATTTTTTGTTTAGATCTAGCCAAATCTGATATAAATCTACTCACATCAAATCTAAGTAGATCTACATCAGATCTAAGTAGATCTACTCATCTTCTTAATATATCATCTTCGCCGTCGGTGAGAGTGAAGTCACGAGTTGATTTCGATGGTTGGTGGTTATCGGTAAACCCCGATCAGTGGAGAAAGACGTGATCACCAGTCGTCATCCATGACAAAAAAAGATGAGAGAAAAATGCAGAAAAAAAGATAGAGAGGAAAACGCAAAGACTGAGGCAAAAAGCAGAGAGATAGAGAGATAGAGAGGAAAGTAAGACTTTTGGGTCTACTCAAAAAGTTGCTGGATTAAATAGTGTCCGCATGTTTCACATAGGACCTGTGGGTAATTTCCCCACAAAAAAAAAAAAAAAAAAACCAGAAATAGAAACAGAGCAAGAAGAAAAACAGAGCCGCGGCACAACAACAGATACAGAGTCTGTATCGGCCCGTATCGGCGCATATATCGGATTCACGCCGTTACGTACCGGGACTCGGACGCTACGGCTGTGAATTTCATTCTCACCGGTATACCGGTGAGTATCCGAATCGGTCCTATGATTTTCCGGTACGAATCGGCCGGTACGTACCGTACCGGCCGATATTTAGAACTATGAGTCCAAACCAACCAACCCAAGGAGCCAAGAACTAACCAAAGTTCGCCAGTAGTTGCGAAACGGACCAAATTTTCAGAAAACTATAATTTTCAAAATCGTTAAAATAAAGTTTTGGCCATACTAGTGTGAAGTACTCATTAAGCGGAGTCAACACAACAAACCGCGTCAAAATCGGAGCTAAAACAAAGCCTTACAAGCTAGGGGAAATTTGCCCAGAAATTCACCTATTTTGCCAAAGAAGACGACCACAAGTTGGTAAACAAAAGAAATTATTGTGTGCATTGCGACTAAGTTACATCATGTCTTATACAAACAATCAAGTTCAAATATATAATGTGCAAAGTATATACACAAGGATATGCCATGGCAACGTGGTTTAGTATTATTATTTCACCATGAAAGCAAGAGTTCAATTCTCACTAGCAACTCCCTTTTATTTTTTGCCGAGCAATTATCCAGTGCTTCGCGAAGCACCATTTCCCTTTTATTTTTTGCCGAGCAATTATCCAGTGCTTCGCGAAGCACCATTTTCAATCAATCTGAGCCATTAGCTCTGTTTTGGCTACAACTACACCATCAAGAGTCCAATTACAATGATCTAATGGTCGTTTCCAACAATTTGGAGCCTTCTGAACACATTCGTATGGTCTAAGTTTGCAATTTTGAGTCATATATTGAGATCAATACATCAGCCAATCGGGAACATTAAATGCCAAATCAACGGTCAAATCCTATCCGATCGACATGTCATTTCAACACCAGGATCTTGGAGCGAGGAACTAATCCTTCGTCTTCATCAATCATTCATTGTGTTACCTTGGCCATTTATTGCCCACTGGGGTATCTTAATCAATTTTTCGCTTTTCAATTAGGGCATATAAGCCGATTATCATCTCGACACCTCTGCTATGCATGCATACTAGGCCAACTTGGTCCAAACATTACGACGACATTTACTTCAGTTACAAACTTCCGCTCTTTTTCACAAAACTCCAAGCAAGCGCCAGTTTTGGGACAATACATGACACTCGGCAGTTCTTCGTATATTTTTGTGCGCGCCATCATTCTTATAAGTTTTATAGCTTCCAACTTTTTTGGCTGATATATCTACATTATTTAATCTGTCTTATTTGGTTTAGGTAGTCATTTTTGTGCTCGGCACATAGAAATATCTCTAGCTTGGCACGCAAATTCATATTTAGAAGCAATCTTTGCACTCGGCAATATACTACACCCTCGCCTTGGGTTATAATACCGCGGCCTATACCCTTGCCCTAGGGTTATAATACCACAGCCTACACCCTTGCCTGGGGGTAATAATACCGTGGCGCATCATTCATTTAACCTCTCTATACTAGTATTACTCACTAGGTTTTAACTCACTATTAGCCTTAATATACATATAGTTATATGCATATTTGCATATACATTCAAGCATACATGCATTTATACAGTCATTCATTCATTCATTTTTATTCATTTATTCAAAGTGTTCTTTATCAAGAAACCTAACATTTGTTTGAACAGTGTAAATCAGCAATAAAAATTCTCATTCCTTCTACCGCAAACAATGAAAGTTCTGGGGCAATTGTGAGAGTTAGAAAAATATCCTAGCTATATGGGTAAAATATCCTAAACAAATATCATTTATCCCCTATAAAATGAGGAGACCCCATACACAAAAGGGAGGTCATCTCTCTCTACACTCCACCTACAACACTCTTTACTATCTATACTCTTCATTCATGGATTCTAACTTGATCATCGGAGTGTCTCCGGCCGGCAACCCCGGTTGGGTGGCGCCGATTATGTTTATCCTTGCAGAATACTGCAACTAAACTCATCTCTTCGTTGGAGTTCATCAATATTTATGTGAGAGAATTTTTCGGGTCTCACATGTATAATGGTTAATGGGCAAATATGTCATTTTAATCTGACATGAGATAAGTGCAATTTTTCTAATGTGAGGGGGATTTCTATTAAACAAAAACCTTATGGGATGTCAATGTAATTTACACTTTTTAAAAAAAATATATATATAAATCAATCTTTGCTACAGTTTATTAAGCTTTAATTAGCATTTTCCTACTTTTATTATTGGTCAGTGCATTGTTCTTTTGGGCTTACCTTATGGTCCTGTTCCATCCACGATAGCCAGCTTGTGTCCAAATGATTTATGTGATGTAGGAAAAAGCTATATACTCAAAAAATAAGGTGTTTTAAAAATAATTCGTATAATGAAAATTAAATTTAGTGTGATGGGGTGATACTCGAAATAAATTTAATTAACACATTTGATTTTTAGAATAATTTTGAGAGTACTTTTTTGAATATATAATTCTGTATGTTGCATGCAAAAATATCAAGATGTCTATAAGAAAAGCTTATACAAAGAAACTAATGTCACTCTTCACATTTTATAGAAGCAGTGTACTGAAACATTACAAACTAAACACCCAAAAAAATAAAATAAAAAACTAAAAAAAAAAAACAAGAGAGAAGAAAAGATCAGAGATGCCAATGAAAACAACAACCTTTATCGGCAATGAAGAAAAATGCATGGTTTTGCTTTCTCTCTCTCTCTCTCTCTCTCAACCAGCCCTTCAACCACAAGGAATGGCCAGTCTGTATTAATACAATTAGTTGTTCATAAATAAGCCTATGAACACAAACTAATTACAAAACTGAACACAAAATGCATATAATTTTTATAAAAATCTTATTGATTCATGTATATTACGTGTCCAATTCTGTATGATTTTTTGTGTTCATATTGAAACTTCTTTACTATATATATATAAAAAAAAAAAGGAAATGGAATCCCAACAACATCTAACCCATGAAATGTACCTATATCTAGAAATGTTGTTCATCATCATGCTGCTGTTGTTTTTGTTTTTGTTGCTCACAACCTTGCCAAGTCCAAACTATGTCCTTGAGGGAAGGCTTCAAACCCTGGTTGCAAAACTCTTTGTATTCCAGCGTGTCTCCGGCAACTTTCTTCACCTCCACCATGTGAAACGACGGCGCCACCTCGAATATCTCCGCGTTTATGGCCAAGTGCCCCTTCCTACCTTCTTTGCTCCCTTGCATGTTCAAAGTCCCATTTTTCTTCTTCACTTTGAAACTCTCCGTCATGGCTATCTCTTCTAATTTTGACACAATGTCTGAAGCGGGCTTTATGGTGGTGAACCGGGCTTCAGACTTTTGATCGTTGTCATTCTCAAACAAGCCCGAGAGATCAAATCCTTGCGAGAGAGAGATGATATCAAAGGCATTCATGCAAGTTGGCTTCATGATCATGGAACTTGTGGTCGCCTCTCCTCTCTTCTTCTCTATGATTTCTGAATCGGATTCAAATGCTTCGTTGAAGTCTAGAAGGCTGCGAGGTGTGTTGTCGTGTTTGTCTTGAATGGGCAATGGGACTTCAATTTGTTTGAATTCTTTCTTGAACCATGAATTGTCCATGAGCTTGGCTACTGTGATTCTTGTGCATGGATTCGGATCCAGAATTCTTGAGAGAAGCTTTCGGACCTCCGGTGGGAACCATTGAGGGCACTTGAACACGCCTCTGCTGATCTTTCTATACATTTCCATTAGATTTGAGTCATGGAATGGAAGATAACCGGCTAAGAGGACGAATAGGACAACCCCACATGACCAAATATCTGCCTTCTCTCCGTCGTAACCTCTCTTGTTGATGACTTCGGGGGCAACATAGGCCGGGGTTCCACATGTCGTGTGGAGGAGGCCGTCTTGCCCCCTTGACTCGTGCAAGGCGCTCAAACCGAAATCGGATACTTTTAGGTTTCCGTGCTCATCGAGGAGGAGGTTTTCCGGCTTCAGGTCACGGTGGTAGACGCCTCTGCTATGGCAGAAGTCTACCGCTGCGACCAGCTGCTGGAAGTACTTCCTTGCAACATCTTCCTTGAGACGCCCTTTGGCTACCTTGTTGAAAAGCTCTCCGCCTCTCACATACTCCATGGCGAAATAGATCTTGGTCTTGCTCGCCATGACCTCGTATAATTGGACCACATTAGGGTGTCTGACTAGCCTCATCACCGAGATCTCTCGTTTGATTTGATCAATCAAACCGACCTTCATCACCTTCTCTTTGTTGATGACTTTGACAGCCACGGTTTGGCCGGATTTTATGTTCCGGCCATGGTACACCTTGGCGAATGTGCCTTGACCTAGAATCCTCCCGAGCTCGTACTTCCCCAACAACATAGTCCCCTTCTTCTCCATATTCGATGTGCTTCTCGCTCTCAACATAATCAATAAGTATATCAAGAGAACAATTATTGATAATTTTTCATAGCCCATTTGTTGATGTACCCATTTTAGCTGGGTCAGGACTAAAGAAAAAAATGGGAATGCTTTTCCTTTAGTGATTGAGGGAGAAGAAAGGGCCAAGGGATTTAAAACCTTGCCCTAGGGCAAGTTGGCTTGAAGAAATGCTTTTCCTTTAGTGAGAAAGAAAAAGAGAGAGAACCAATTACTGGAAACAACGCTTGTATCATATGGTTTCTAAAAACTACCACAAACCACCTATTACCCAATGGAGGTTGGGGTAAAAATAGCAAAGATTTGATTGGATTCAAGCTCACAAACTAGACAGTTTGTTAGCAACTATGCTATATATAGTGCTATATTTGAGTTATGGATCTCCTAGGGAATATATGTGTGGGCTCATAGGATAGACATTTATGTGCTAGCTGTTTTGTTCTCAGGCAATGTAGGAAGGTTGAGGATTATACTGACCTTTTCTAGAGAAAGCTTCAAAGATTGAAATAGGGCTTGTGGGTGGGAGTACAAGATGAGAAATAAGTGGTGGACAGAGATGCTTCAATTGTACAATCAATTCTTTGTTTTTTTTTTTTAAACTTTAACATTATTAGAATCTGTAAAAAAAAATAAAAAAAATAAAAAAAAAAAAAAAAAAAAACACCATCTGTCTTCACACGTGCCCTAGTATTTGGATAGCTTCGGTTACAACCCGGTAATGTTATTTATTGCCAATAAATAAATAAAGGGAAAATTGTATTGGTAATCTCTATATCTTGTTTCTTATGTTATCACTATAACATATAAGAGTTTTAGAAATTAAATTTTTTAGTCTCTAAAAATAAAAATATTATTGTAAAAGATATTTGAGAACCAATTTCTATTGCTGTGAGAATAGTCGTTAAAAGGTTATTCCGAAAAGTTAAAAATAAGACTTTTCGTGACAAAATTTTCAAAATATTACTAATAAATACACTTTTATGGACTAAATAATTTGATCTCAAAAGGGTTTATTTTTTGAGACAAAGAAATTGGTCTCAAAAAGATAATAATTTATCACTAATGTTGTATTTTAGTTACTAAAAATATAATGACATTTTCCGCAACAAAAATATTTGATCCTTAAAAAATTATTTTGTCCCTAAATTTGGTCTCTAAAACCTCTTTTTTCACATTTTTAATTGATACAATTTTGACCCTTAATTTAATATTTTGTATCAATTTGGTTGAATTGACAACACAATTAGGGGAGATAATTTTAATTAGTGTATTAACAGATGATGTAGCATAATTTTAAAAAATTTAAGTCTTTATAATTTATATAATGAGTGTAGTCCATAGTTTTGAAGTGACAATATCGTAGCATATATTAGTACACTAATTAGTATACCAATTAATGCATGTAGCAACATAGTAATTTTTTTTATATATAAAATTTTATTTTCATAACATAAACACAAAAATACCATAATAAAATTACAAAATATTATAATATTATCATTCATAATTTTAAAGTGCACGTCATAAATTTAATATTCATGCACGTTGAAGATTTCTCCCACAATTAAGGTGTTTTACGAAAACATGATCGCTAAGTTGATTGATAGTATTAACTCACTGAAATGATTAATTTATAATTTTCCCTCTAAAAGCATATATACCGCTCATATATGCATTGTAGCTTACTGAACCAAACTAAAACAAAGTCCAAAATTTAGAGTTAAAATCAAATTAATTGAGTGGGTGTTTGGAAAGTTGGTATTTTAGTAAGCTATTTTAGTTTTTGGCTATTTTAATAGGCTAAAATTTTTATGTTTATGAAGATAATTGAATTTTTTTGTAGTTAGATGTGATATTTGTGAGAGAAAAAGTGAAATGATTATAAATTTGATGTGGCATTTTGTCGCATTAGTTATTTTAATCGATTTTGTTATTTTGCCTAAACCAAGCTATTTTTTTTCTTGCCAAACACCTCCTGAAATTAAAAGGGCCAAAATGACGCAAGAGTCAAAGTATAAAAACTACCAATATAATTAACCTAAAAATAAAATTAGAAAATTATTTAGAGTTTTCAATCACTGGTTAAGGCCTCGTTTGGCAACAGGCCGATTTAGCCAAAGAGTCAAAAAGTTACTAAAAAAGTCAAAAAGCCAACATCCCATACCAAAAAGTCAAATATTCTTTTTTCTCTTTACTTTTTGCATATCTTTTCATAAAAAACTAAAAAATCATTACAAACATACTATTTTTTTAACTCATATTTTAACCAAATAACAAAAAAATTACTAAATTAACATGTTTCCAAACGAGCCCTAGATTCATTCATGTTACAAGCCACAACACTAATTTTAAATATGTACTTTAGATTTACCATTGTGGATGATTTTCTAAATTATTATTTATTTTTTTTTGTGGAAAGTCAAATTTTCAGAAACTTGTAATATGTATGATTCATATAGTATGTATTAGGCCTGTAAATGGATCGGATTCGGATCGGATCTGTCAAAATCTGAATCCGATTCAATTATGTCAAACCCGAATTCGATCCGAATCCGTTTAGTCTATATCCGATTATAGATATCTGAATTCGAATCCGATGATTTCGGATATCCGATCCGATAATCCGATCCGATCCATTTATTTATTTATTAAGCTACAATTTTATATAATTTGAATTTTTTTTTTTCATTTTGTATTTTTTTTATTTAATTTGAGAATACTCGGATCGGGTTATCGGGTTATCGGGTCGGATCGGATTTTTGCAGATTCAATCCATTTAATAAATGGATTAAACGGATTCGGATTATCGGATTATTGGATCAGATTTTTTGTAAACGGATTCGGATTATCGAATTGGATTCGGGTTAAATCCGATCCATTGACAGCCTTAGTATGTATACGATGTGTTTATAGGGCACGAACAATGCTACATTTATTTTAAAAATTTTAATTTTAATTTTTTTTTATCAGCAAAAGAAAAGATTTGTGGATGAAAAAAGCAAATTACATGCGAAAATACATCAATAAATCAGGAAAGTGCACAAGTATCATAACTAACCTCCATAAAATTTAATAATTTTATTAGAAATATACATGTTTAAACATTATTAAATATTCAAATGTATGGAGAAGTGGTTTTGGAAATACTCTTCACATCCTGGGAGATGCTAGTGATCTTCAACTAGTCACCTGAAAAGACACAAACACTCCGGTCGGGGGTGTTGGGATTAGCACTCCGACGGATAAGTCAGTTCTTGTACTCAAAATAGCTTATCTTCTAAGTTAAGCAAAAAGTGATTGTTACCTCCCTACTAAATCTGTTATTCCTGTATTTATACCTGTTTCTTTTGGGCCTCGGGGCCAGGGCCTACTTTTTAATCATTGTCCTTTCTCTTATTCGGCCCATATATTATATTCGACCCCCTATTCTCGCAGGATACAGCCGATTAACATCAGCCTTCTATAGTGCGCGCCTTCTGACTTTGCCATTATTTGGCTCCCACAATTGCCTCCCAAACTCCCCATTGACGGTAGTTAATCGGCGTGTTTGGTTTTGAATTTGAAAAGTCAAAATAGGTCAGATGGCTTCGCATACCCCAATATAGATGTCAGAATGCGCACACCTTTTCGGTCATCATTACACTTTCCCACCTCGTTCGTGCATCCCTCGCATTTATTATGATTTGAAACTTCAGTCTTTTCGAATGCATAATTCGTCAAGTATTCGAGACTCTTCGACCGCCAGCGGGTATCCTTTCTCTAGCTCGCATTTTCTGCAATTGTTCCCCGTCTATCCTTGCCTCGTTTACTTCTTGTAAGTCTTCTTCCATCTTCTTTGCAATCCTATTTTCTGTTTGTCATTTCGATTTCGGCGGAACCTTGAATCCCCGCGAAAATGGCTAAACACTTGAAAGACCTCCTTTCTGAGGGTCGTATTTCCGGATTCCGGCGACACTTTTCCATTCCCGACGATGTCCACTTATCTCTTGTAACGGACAGTACTCTTGATATGGAGAGGTATGATCAAAATACGATCATCTTCCTTCTCTTATCCATAGCGGAGGGCGGAGTTCGTTTTTCCCCACATCCATTGCTTAGGACCGTCCTTCGCTATTGGAGTCTGATTCCTTCTTAACCCAACGTAAATTTCCTTCGAATCATCATGGGGGTGATAGAGTTGAACTGACGCCTTAGGATCAACCTTGGCATTCCGGCGATTCGGCACTGCTATGCTTTGGTCAATTCTTCCAATCGACTGGGGCGATACTTTCTCAGGGCCAAGGACACTAACCGTCACTTGATAACCATGCTTGCCAGTTCTGGTAAGAGAGTTGACGACGTAATGGTCAATGTCTGAGGTAATTGGGAATTCGGTGAAGGCGAAGACCGCTTAGACCCTATTTCCAGACGGAAGGGTGATCCAGGTTGCCATGTAATGCCTCGTGTTTGTTGATCTGCCTTTTATTTGGCTTTTTTCCTTTAATCACCCCTTGTTCTTTGCAGGTAACAGATTGAAGAAGATTTTTCCCTCAACCGACGACGCAATTCTTGAGGAAATTAAGTCTGTACTTAGATACTTTAGCCGTCCAAACGTACAAAAGCAAGGGAGAGCTACTCACATACTCCTTTGATACGAACCTACTTATACTACATTCTCGGCAGCGGACGACATTCTAATTCCATCCGGCGATCAACACCTTTCGACTCTTCTCTGTCCCAGCTTCAAGAGCCTTAGGCAAATTGGTCTCTAAGATTCGGATTCGGGGGAAGACGCGGAGCCGTGGTAGAGGTAGTTGCCGAACCAACTAGAGAGGTCATTGAGGAGGCCGAAGAGGTCGACGAGGCGATACGCTCGGCGTTCGAGGCTGCCGAACTTAACCAGCCTTCACCGTCCACTTTGGGTCAGGAAAAGTTTTCTTCTGGAGATATTTTTACGAATTTGGGAGACCTACTCGGCGATTTTTTCAAAGGTATGGCTGGGGAAAACCTTACGCAGATGGCGCGAAAGAAAAATGCCGAGCGAATGGCTGCTCGAAAGAAGGCCGAGGCCGCCAATTTCTGAGCCCACCCTAATTAAAACTTTCGTACTGGTTATTGAAGAGACGGCTCAGGTTGCTACGGTCGAAGTTGGGAAAGAGGTTGAACAACAAGTCATTGACGAACAGTTGATTCCGGAGGAGCGGGGCAAAAAGCGTAGTGCCAAGGGAGAGGCTGGGTCGGAGATTAGCCCTACTTCCAAACGGCCTCGTTTAGAAGAGTCGGATGTGGTTGGTCCTTTTATTATTCGGCCAAAGATCAAAGATACGCCGATCTCTTCTGACACTTTAGCCATTGAGGATCCAGCTATGGCGTTAAGCCTGGCGGCTTCAATTTCCTTGCCGGCTGACAACGCAGCCTTTCGCGCGATGCAGGATGTTATGGCCGTAGCCCTATCTGCGTAGTCAGCGCTCCTGGTAAGTGACCATCTCAAATTCTCTTGAATTTGTTTTCATTAAGGTATCTGACGATCCCAACTTG